GGCCAAGGTAATCTTTTCACTCTTTGGGGCTTCTGGATATTTATTTCTGAAAAACTATCCAAACTTCCTCTATGTGCTTTCATAACACTCACACCTGGGGACCAAAGTAAAATCTTAGCAGGAAAGAAAAAAAAATACCATATCCTAATTTGTTTGTGTGTGTGTGTGTGTTTAAAATGAGTGCTCTACATTAAGATAGAAGTTTTACTGACAAAATGAAGGCTCAGAAATAATTCAGGACTCTTTTAAAAAGTAGTCCAACTTAGCAACTCCCTTCCCCAGAAAAGCACAATATACATCATAAATTGTCCAACTACACACTGAAAAATTTATACACGTCATCACAACCAGTTATTAACCTTTCAACCAGTGAACAGAAATTTTTTTAAAAGTTGTATAAGGCAAAGAATTTCCTGTAACCTTTCTTAGAGAATTCATAATGCATCGGTGAAGTTATGAAAACTCTAGTTTTGTTATCCATGTCTAATTCTGTAAGTTATATTAAAAATATAATAACATTTTCAAATGATGTAGAAATAACTCCTCATGTTCTGGAAGTGTGTCTGATGATCTGGTGCCTAGGCAACTGGCCTCCACTAGAGGGCAACAGAGTGTGCTCGGAAAGCAACCTGGGCTTGGGAATGGAATGTCTGGTTTTAGGTCAGTGGATCATTCATTGTGCAAGCCAGTCTCTATTTTAAAACCATATTAGATCCCTGAATGGTACTTACATTACCAAACAACATGTCCTGATAAAAGGATTCTCATTGTAACTCAAGTCAAACTGACATTTTCATTTCTCAAATATTAATACACTAATCCAAAAGGTCTATTATAGTAATCAACTACCTTCTTAGAAAATTATTTTTTAACAATTAAATACCTTCTAAACAAGTTTTCAAGAGGATTATTGAAAACTGTTAGCAGGTATAGTAAAATAGTTTATTTGAGCTTTTAATATTAAAAAAGTTAATGCTTAAATCAAAACACATAGGTAAAAATTGCAGTAATAACACTACCATAGTATTATTAAGATAATAGCTAACATTAAGCATACATAATACTATACTTAAACTTTATAGTGTTTACCTATACAGCTTTCTATGCTAACCCTATAAGAACTAACATTATATCTATTTTACATACAGTGAAATGCAGCTAATATAGATGTAGAAACTTGCCCTAGTATAGATGAGAAGATAGAGATGAACTGAAATCATAATACTTGAGAACCAGATACCACACATGATTCAGGGATCAACCTCCCCTAAATGGAGCCCACAAAAGCCACTAGTATCTCTCCAAACACAACCCTGATGATAAACAAAGCTTAGTCAGAGATAGAGACATCTTCCCATATTACTGTACTATATAATGAGATGCAAGCTTTAGGCAGAGATTTTAATTCAATTAAATATGCATCACATACTAATTCTGAATTAATTTTTTTACACCACATAGTTGGGTCTATCACCTACCTTTTTTTAAAAAAAGCAATAGTGGTGACTGTGTAAGAGAAAACTTCATGCTAACTTATGGTTGATGAACTTTCCTTAGAAGTTATTGATATAAATGCCCAACACATGATGTGGCACAGCATAGAAGAAAAATAGAGTCTGGATATTGTAATTCAGGGTCCTAGAGTCTGGTTCTGTTATGCAATACCTGTGTGATCTTGGGTAAGTCACTTATAATTTCTGAGACTGTTCTAGAAATGTAAAATGAGATTAATAATGGTTCTTGATGCAGGGTCACTCTAAAGTAAACCAGAATATGGAAGTGTCAAGTGCATTTATTTCTGTAACATCATCCAAACTTCCTCTATGTGCTTTCATAACCTATACACCTAGGAACTAAAGTAAAACGCTAGCAGGAAAATAGAGTAATAACACTACCATAATATTACTTCATGGCATCTTGGTGGTGATCTGCAGAATGCTAAGCTGTTGTTATTTGGTGAACTAAGTTGGTTGCCTTTGGCAGTTAGAGAAAAGACATGAGTATAATGCTGTAATTCTTAGATATTTATTTTATCACAAAGAATTTGAATCAACAGACTGATGCATATAGCTGAAGAATCTTGAGAATAACTGTCATAACTAAATAATTACTAAGTTTTAGCACAACATTTTATATGAATACTAGTTATCATAAAATGCAAAATTCCAAAGCTGTTTCAATAATATTTTGACAAAACATAATGAAATAGTGTAACAGGGTGAGCAGTTGGTTTCTTCTGGGTGGGAGTCTAATGGGAAAGCACGTTAAAAACAACACAAAAAAATCTCAAAGAGACAGTATTTGTGCACCAAGCACTATGCTATCCAAAGAAAAAATAGAAGTAAGATCAAAGCAAATTATTTCAGACCAAATATTTTGAAATTTATTTTATTTTTTTAGAAAACAAACACAACTATATCATTCTCTAGTTTTATGTAGAGTATCATTTAACCTCTTTTTTTTTTTTTTTGGTCTATACTGAAGTACACTGGATGTGTTTTTCATGTACTATGTGACCTCAATATACACTGCAGTCTAATTATAAGTTTGTTTTCCCTGTCCCATTCTTTATAGCTGGGAAACCAACAGTTCCTTACCATCCTTACTCACTCACTGTGAGTCTTCCCTAAGAACAAAAGTATTTCAGCTTTCACTCAGTGATCATGGCATCCATCTAAGACTCTTTCTGCTTGCTTTTTATTCATATTGTAAACAAAAGAGAATATTAGGTAGCCACTTTGATAATAGGTAAATTGTTATTTTATCAAAGGTCAATACCGCCTCAAAGGATCTTGGGCAAGCTTACAATTATTGCTCAAACAAATCCAATAACAACAACAACAACAAAAAGTTTAAATAGGTTTGGCAGAGTTTTCTTTGCATACTAGATGTAGGGATCTCAAGGAAATTTTAACATTGCAGAGTAAATGTGAAAAAAAAAAAGGAGAAAAACAGAAAGCAATAAATCAAGCAATGCCTTTTCACTTACTTTTTTTTAAAAAAAAAAAAAAAAAAAAATGGGAGTGCAATTTGTTTTTCTTACAGTATCAAAAGTGTAAATTATCATCACCTCTGCAGAATAATACCAGTTAGGCTACATGGAGAAACATTTAAAATGTAATAACATGAGAAGATGTAAAGCTGTACCCAAATTGTTTCAATCCTTTACTAGGACTTTAGCTGATTTTCTCACTGTGTCACCTTATTTAGTAATGTTAGTAGAGTCCCGTTAAAAGAGATTACATGTAATAAATCTGTTTCTATATCTAGTAAATGGATTATGGTGGAAACAAGCTTTGCCAAGATGGTTAAAAGGATGCTGCAGAGGGAAGAGTCCTATTGGACAAATGATTTCTCTGGGCACTCTTCGTGGAATCATCCTTCCTCTAATGGAATCTTGGAAAAGACTGGGGGGGCATATTTTCTTCTGGACCTTCTTAATTTGCCATTTTTCAGCTTTTCATTTTAATACACTGACATTAGTGAAATCTGAGGCAGGAAGAGCCTTCATTAATAAAAACCCTAGAGACCTAGAATATATCAAAGGAAAGGGGTAGTCCTGGGGAAGAAGCAGAAAGTGCAAGTGGGAAAAATGAGTGAAAGCCCTCCCTTGGGAGCCTGAGAGTAAATCATGCATTTTTCTTTACTGAGACCAACTAAATAAACAGGAAGTGCATCAAAATTATCTAGCAAGAGTCACCTGGAGAGAGTGACATTAATTCAGTAAGTGTTCCCGAAGAATCAGACTTGTATAGGACACTGCACTGGTCACTATTAACACAAAAAACACAAAAGAAACTAAAGTTTCCCTGTCTCTGTCCTCTGGCTGCTGACAAGCTACTTAGGGAGATAAATTTCTTGGAAAATTGGTAGTTTCCATGCAAAGCAAACTAAGTTTGAGTTCCAAAGATGAATATAAATTTGAAGAGTCAGAAAATATCTTGCAGAAAAAGAAAAACGTAAGTTTGACTGAGTTCAATAAATCACACATGCACACACACACACACACACACACTTTCATATTCTAGTCCAGATCAAAACACACAAATGTGTACACACACACAACTCTAAACTGCAGAAAAACATGTCACAAACATGAATTAGCATAGTACAAACCATGCTAAGGATAAATACATAATAGAAGAAATTTTGGAAACAGTTCAATTTTGGAGGACACATTAGACACTGATAAGAGGAACCCCACCCAGAATTAATTTTAAATAGTGTGTTTCAACAGCAATAATCCAGCATATTGCAACTGAATATTTTATTTTTACACCCTTCTCAGTTTAGTACCACAAGAAAAATACAAATAAAATTATGTATTTGCAATGGAATTATTCCCACATAGGTGGCAGAACAGGCTCAAAACTTTCTGAAATATTCAATTTAGTCCTTTTTTTAAAATTTCAGCAATGAAAACAAGGACTATTTTTTAATAACAAAATATTTTATTATTATTTTTTCAAATCTTCATACATAAATTTTGTATAATAATGACCATCACAAAAGGGGATTGGCAAGGATGGGGAAAATAAGGACTATTACTCAAGAGAATTGGTGGCCAGCTACATTATGAAAAATAGTCACAATAGTTCAGGAGGCATTCCTCCCTGTGATATTCTCTACTGCAAAGCACATTCAGACCTCAGGCATTAAGCTGAATATTTAGCAAGGGCTAAGAATAAACTCCAGAGCCAGCAACCACAAGGAAAATTCCAACAACCTCAGTGGCTGACACTAATTTATTGAGATGTATCAGGAACTCTTGGGAATGAAGTGTCTGCTAATTAGGCCACCACAAACAGGCTCCCAAACCTTGACAAAGTTTTTCCAAACATCTGATGAAGAACTGTGATTTATGGGCTGCCTAGGTTAAACCTGAACAGATGGTATCTTTTAATAATAATTGACACATGAGTTTGTTAAGGGTTTCAATGTCTTGCAAACATGCATCTCCATAGAGGAAAACAAAGAGCAACATTTTTAGAATCATCTACCTTATCTTTGTCTTCAACAACATCTGCCAAGACATCATCTGGATCCAGGATACCTCCATCTGTGTATTCTAAGTGATGAATCTTCACCCAGTAACCAGGATCCTATGGTAGAAAAAAAAAAAAAAATGTTTCATGACTCCATCTTCTTTTAAAAAATGATACAATGTAATTTTAAGAGAAATAAATTGACTCATTAATAATATGCTCTAGTAATAATAACATTTTCAAACAACCAAATGTCATCTTTTTATTTGGATAAATGGTTGGCATTTTTTCCCTGTTTAAGTCAGTGAATCAAAGTATACATATTGCATCAATTTTCCTTGAAGATGAATTGTAAGCAAATGTAAATTGCTCCAGTATCTTGAAAAGCATATTCAAAGAACTTTTTATAACCCCCCACAACTTAGATAATGCCAAGAGGATGCTAGAAAACATCTTCTTGAGAGTACTTCCTGAAATGGGGAATGAATGTTCAAACTAAGGTCCCAAAGCTGTAGTCAAAAAAAAAAGCAAAGAAAAAATCTAAAATGCAGAAATCTGTGATTGCAACAGCTGTCACTTTAGAATATAGGGATGGAATGGGTGACCTCCAAGCCTTTCATCTTTTTAAATCCCAGGCTCTATGTGCATCCTCAGCTCTAGATTATGCAATGACACATGAAGCAGACAGCTCCTACCTCCTGAGTCTTGGCGGCAAATTGCAAACCGTGTTCTGAGTTGAACCGAGTTCTCTGAGGTAGCGATTGAAGAGACTTCCAACTAAACCATCGCTTAGTATTAAGAACTGCTTATTCTGATAGTAGAATTTGGAAAGGAGTGGTCTAGTTCAGTTATTTCCATTTCCAGAAAAGATACGAAAGTGAGTCATTGTAACAATGAGACAAGAACACAAACCAAAAAGAAAGTGAAGAAAAAACATTAGTAAGGATTTTACCAGAATATCCAAGCCAAAATCCACTTGGTTCTGTGATTCTTAGAAAGCCCCTCAAAGTGGGAAACTATTTAGCTATAAAGTACTCAGTATCCAATAAAGGAACAGATATCAGTGTGTGAAAAGAGATGGAAATTCCAGGATAAAGCTCTAAGTCCTTATCACATGAATCTTTATTAAAAGTAAGAACTACCATAACCCACAGAATGCAACTGCAATTTTATGAAAGCTAATAGAAATGGTTGTCATATAGCTCTCTCTTTAACTGACCCCTGATAAAAGGCGAGGGCATACTATTAAATAATAATTCTTTTAAGGCATCTATTTGGAGGACTACTGAAATGTGGCCCAAGTGCATAGCTTTCCAGTAATTCAACCTTATAAAGTGACAGGATAAAAATCTAAAGGAATTCTCCTTAGGTAGGCTTTGGACATTTCAAAATTAAGTGTTCTATATAGTATATAAGGAGCAATTCTTAGTAACCTGAAAGGAGTTTCATTTGCTTCTAAATCTAGACTTACTGTAGAAATATTCATGATTTACCAAGAAACTTTAAATGCCTCACTATTGCCAGATAGCAATTCCAAAGATATGAGCAGTGAAAGTGTAATCAGGTAAAAAAAGTATAAAACACCCATCACTCAGATTCTGTAACCAGAGATCTTTGTGGACTCGTGGAGATTGTGCTATAAAAGATGAGCAAGTATAGCAGGCGAGATTCCAAAGAGGGAGGATACTGGAGTGTACAAAAAAAAAAAAAAAAAAAAACACTGTGTCTTGGGCACTGGACTGTCTGAATGCCCCAAGCAATCTTTGGTAATAGAATCTTTATTCTGGGGTCACTCCACAGCACCATATTCCTCCAAATCTACCTAGACTTTCAACCAAAATCTAGAGTTTATGTTTTCCTTGTAAAAAATGGCCTGCTTATGAAAGGAGTTCAATTTAATTAATTTCTATAAACTTCCACTGAGTTGGGTTTTGATATATTAAAGCTCTTTAGATGAAATCTGTTGATTTCAACCATGTTTACAAAAAGTGATATATTCTAAAGGGTTTGCTTTTTTTAATATTTATACTTAAAAGCAGACATCTATTAAGTTGTCTGCTTTTTTCTTGTGCTTGGTTTGTAAAAGCAGATTTTATCACATAAAACTATGACAAACAATTTCCCCTAACAACTGCAGTGTAAGTTAAAGTCCACCTTGCTTCCTGCCTAGAAATAGCAAGAAGAAAACCAGAGTCCAGATTTAAAAGAGAAAATTTTAAATATATATATACACATATATTATAGAAGGAAATATGATGTGATCAGTTATACAGAGAGTGGCAGACAAGTGTGCAGCAATCTCCAAAGCCTAGCTAAGGAGAATTCCTTCAGGCGGGTAAGACAGTCACAGTGCATTCTTCCTGCACACACACACTCATGGGACCTAAGACATTCTGAAAAATAACAGGACTTGAAACTCAGGCACTTCTCTAATTTGATTCAAAAGAATATACAACTAAATCAAGTTAAAAAGCAATTTGATAATTTTGAAATAATGTATTTGACCAAAAAACACTTAAATATATAATACCAGAATTTACTCGACTCGAATTAAGACTCCCTATTACACATGGATGCTGTCATTTCATATATTCTCTGGAGAAGAGTAGATTCATGATGGTCACACTTGTAGCCCTGAACCAAAACAGACAAGCCATAGGAAATCAGTCTCAGGATTAATATTATATACATCCAAGAAAAGAAAATCAATAAGCCAGCATGTACCGACTGCAGTTCTGTCCCTGTGGTATTTGGCCATGGTGCCATAGATCATTAAGAATACACATTCAATATTTGCAGCCTACAGCCTTCATAAGACTATAAATTTACCCTGAATCTTTTATGCATGTTAAAATTTCAACCATTACACTGCAGTCAACATTTTGCATTTCATTTACTTGGCTTTATTGCCATGAGGAATAAAACTGATCAAATATGAAAAGATGTTCACATATGTGTCTTGGTTCACACAATTAATCACTTGGAAGCATTTACCGTGTTTTTTCATAATTGTGACATTTAGTTTACCATTGTACTGCACCAATATCTGTAATACATATAACTTTCAAATTATTTTGAAAATCTCTCTAACACATTTGCTTACTTTGCAACAGTCTTATTACCTGTGTTCCCAGGATCATTAAAGTATTGTAAGATAACACACCACTCATTGGGTTTTCTCCACTTCTAACATATATTATCCTCTTTAAAAATAATATACATTTATGTAAAACCCTATCGGAATATTTAAATTAAAATAAATTTATCTATAGGGATAAATTGAAAAAATAAACTAAAACAAAAATGCATGCATTACATGAAGAAGACAGTCACAGGGTGTTTTTAATGATCAAATGTAGAAATCGTTCCAAACAGGCATTGATTTTTTAAAAAAAAAATATTTTTGTAGTTGTTGATGGTCCATTATTTTATTCATTTATTACATGTGATACTGAGAATCAAACCCAGTGCCTCTCACATGCTAGGCAAGTGCTCTACCACTGAGCCACAACCCCAGCCCTAAGCATTGATATTAATAACAAGAAATACCCTCCACTGTGTCTTGAAGATGAAATTTGACCCCATGCTTTGGGTAATGTATATTTATCAAAGTATAGAACAATAACTTTCCATCTGCAGTACCAAAAGGAGTAGACTGTCAAGGCAGATACTCTAAAACTGTAGGATTGTGACAATAATCAAAAGAGAGGGTAAAGTTAGAGGTTCCTGAGCAAAATGTCTATGGTACAAGACAAGAAAAAAATTTTCAATGGCAACAACAACCCAAAGTTGAGGGAACACTGCAAAAGAAAGGCCAACGGTAGGAGAAGGGCTGCATTTAGTCAGTGGTTCACTCAATGCAACTAGTTGCTTAGAGGCTTCTTGTTTTTACAAGAATACTTTTACTTGCAGGAACAAAAACAATGGTGGAATGGAACTCAACAGAAAGAGTTTTCTTTATACAATTAACAATGTGTATTTGGTGGTGTGTACCCACAAAATGATATTTCATTAATTTTGTCATTATTACAAACTGCAGATAATTTGTTTTAGTGCTTACTATAGGCTATGTATAACAGGGATTAGGAGTTTTATATGACTAACTCATTTATCCTTAAACAACCTCATAAAAGAGTCATCAATCCATTTTACAGATGAGGAAACCAAGGCATGAGTAAGGGAACTGACTTACTCAAGGTCATGTGCTTAATAAGCAGCAGAGCCAACATAGGCATTTTTTAAAGTAGAAAAATATGTATATATTTTTAGATTAAGTAATAATACAATGCATAGTTACATAGGAACCAGCAGGGGAGCAGGTCTATTTGTATCCTTACACAAGTCTATGGGCCCAGGCAAGATGACATTGCTCCTGGCCTCAGATACTTCGTCATTAGTGAGCATGCAGATTCATGGCCTCCTGCATGATGTGCCACACACACAGGCTGAAGTACAGAAAACACAAAGGGACACGTAATGCAAGGCTCCATATTCTTCATATAAGTGGCCTTACCAGTGCTTCACAACTGAAACAAGTGCGAGAAGTTTCAAAATATAATTCTTCGTAATCATAGAATTGAGGGCTTGGACAATAGTGGAAAAGGTTCTTACTGCTGAGAACAAAATGGAAGTTGGAGGCATCTAACATTGGATAGAGAATTATGAAAATATGCTACTTTTGCCATAACCTTCTGGGGGTATTCTCCCTCTACCCAAGACCAGAAGGTCATCAGATGCTCCACGATGCACCCAGGAAGGCGAATGTGTCAGAACATGTCTAGAGACTCTCGGGTAGGCAGAGAACAGGAGTCTCTGAGGAACCAGCCACAGGGCCATGTAGGAAAAAAACAAAAAGGGATGCCTACGTGAAACCTAGCAGAACAGCACGGACAGCTGAAAGGAAAGAATCATTTCCAAGAAGAAGTCACGAATATAAAGATCACTGCAATCCTCCTCTAATGATCTTCAAAACATGCTTCACCTTTCCAAAAAAGATCCACCAAGCACAAACCTCAGAACAAAAGCCTCGTAGAGGAAAATGGGCTGAAGCCACTTTAATCAACAGTGTTTCCAAAGAATTCAGGAGAACCACAACGGGACCCAGAGTTTTTATGCTG